ATCTTGAATTGAGCTTAAATTTAATGATTTATTTCACTCATGCAAAATATGTTCGTATATTACTGTACAAAGATTCATTGAAAAGTACAGGTACTCGGAAGTCGATCAGGGCTCATGCATATACTTGAGATGGTCGAGAGGTATTTCTCGGATCAAGGATAAAAAAACAAACATCAGATTTGAACATTTGAAGAATTCAAGATCAGGGGTCGAAATCTTCGAAATTCCATACAGGCAACCAAAGATCAAGATTTCTCTCCAAATCCCCATAACTTTTTCAAGTTTTAGCCAGAGTAAATTTCAACTTCGCGATGAAGGATATTGAACTCACAATTTGCTCGAGAGTAGATTTCGACTTCACGACGAAGGATATCTAGCTCGAAGCCAAACATCCACGATTTCAACTCCACGACGGAGGATATCACTCAAGACAACACAAGTTCAACTATACAAAGAAGGGATGGTTGGTTGTCAACAACGATTTCGGAGCCAATTTCAACATCACAGCGAAGGATATCGGACTCCAGATAACGCAAGTTCAACTTCACGACGAAGGGACCGCTGGTTGTCAATAAACAACTTCCCAATTTCAGAGCCGATTTCAACTTCACAGCGAAGGATATCGGACTCCAGACAACGCAAGTTCAACTTCACGACGAAGGGACCGCTGGTTGTCGATAAACAACTTCCCAATTTCGGAGCCAATTTTAACTTCACAACGAAGGATATTGGACTCTAGACAACACAAGTTCAACTTCACGACGAAGGGACCGCTGGTTGTCAATAAACAACTTCCCAATTTCAGAGCCGATTTCAACTTCACAGCGAAGGATATCGGACTCCAGACAACGCAAGTTCAACTTCACGACGAAGGGACCGCTGGTTGTCGATAAACAACTGCCCAATTTCGGAGCCAATTTCAACTTCACAAGTATTGGACTTTAGACAACGCAAGTTCAACTTCACGACGAAGGGACCGCTGGTTGTCAATAAATAATTTCCCAATTTTAACTTCACAGCGAAGAATATTGGACTCCAGACAACGCAAGTTCAACTTCATGATGAAGGGACAGCTGGTTGTCAATAAACAATTTCCCAATTTCAGAGTCAATTTCAACTTCACAGTGAAGGATATTGGACTCTAGACAACGCAAGTTCAACTTCACGACGAAGGGACCGCTGGTTGTCAACAAACAACATCCCAATTTCAGAGCCAATTTCAACTTCACAGCGAAGGATATTGGACTCCAGACAACGCAAGTTCAACTTTACGACGAAGGGACCACTGGTTGTCAACAAATAACTTCTCAATTTCAGAGCCAATTTCAACTTCACAGCGAAGGATATTGGACTCCAGACAACGCAAGTTCAACTTCACGACGAAGGGACCGCTGGTTGTCAATAAACAACTTCTCAATTTCAGAGCCAATTGCAACTTCACAATGAAGGATATTGGACTCTAGACAACGCAAGTTCAAATTCACGAAGAAGGGACCGCTGGTTGTCAATAAACAATTTCCCAATTTCAGAGCCAATTTCAACTTCACATCGAAAGATATTGGGCTCCAGACAACGCAAGTTCAACTTCACGACGAAGGGACCGCTGGTTGTCAATAATCAATTTCCCAGTTCCAGAGCCAATTTCAACTTCACAGCGAAGGATATTGGCCTCAGAACAACACAACTTGCATTGGATTTCAATTTCACGATGAAGGATATCCAATTCTCAGGCTCAACTTCACGACGAAGGAGCCATATACAATTCCAGCTTCACAAACAGACTGACCCAACTTCACGACGAATGAATCATCTGTAACACCACAACACCAAAGTCCTCAGGTTAAGTTTCACCTTTACGACGAAGTATCTTGAGCCTGAAGACGATTCAGAGGCCACTTGGCAAAAGCTTTGATCTCGTTTTCAACTTCACGACGAAGGATTCGTGATCAGAATTTTCTAGTTTTGACTCAACCTCACGACAAGGGAGTCATTTCAATACGAATCAACAGATCAATCTTAATATCGGATTTCAACTCTACGACAGAGAATATTCAATATGGATGAAATTCGTGTCTTTTAATCTTTGCTCTAATCTCGTTACACAATAATGAGCAAAGAGGGGCAGCTGAAGACACTCGATTTTGTCTTTTGTTATTAATATTATTACATTATTATATAATATTAGAAACTATATTATATAATTATATTAATTTTATTTACATTTTACAGGGCCCAAATCAAATAAAAACAGGCCCAACACGTGGCCCAGTAAAGCAGCCCGTGATACCCCAAACCCTAGCTCATCTCACTCTCGCTTCAGCAACCCTCATCAGCGCCTCATGGAGTTTTGGCCGAGAGTTCCGTTTCCTCTACTTCCTCTTCGAAGTCACCACGCCGTACGACACCAACCCCGACTCCTCCGATGCAAAGATCTCGCAAGACACCACCAACAGACAATGGAGTTAGAGTTTTAATAGGATTTAAATTCTTAAACTTTAGGCTATAAATATTCGATGTAATCGAACACTGGAAATCACGAGCACACTAAGATTACACACGAATATACGCAATATACTACGAGAGACCGAGAGGGATACAACATATTCGAGGTTTTACTGTGTAACCAGATTCGAAGAGAAATAAAAGGTGAATATTTTTGTTTTGTTTTTTACCTTGCATGTCGTTTCTTCTTCCTCTTGATTTGCCTTTGTCTGACTTCAAATAATTCAAGAGTTGGTTACGCCGATGATCAAAGGAAAAGGGTTTCGAGATTTCGAAACTAGATCTAGCCCCGAGGCGTTTGTTTCTTTAGAAAAGTTTTGATTTTTAAAATAAATGGTGGAAAGAGCTTTCGAAATCTTTAAAAAAAAAAATTTTGCCGCCGATGAACGGCGGTCGCCACCATTCAACGGAGGCGACGAGGCGGCGCAGGGAGCGGCCAACGGCCGGATTCTGGAAATATGTTGCCGTGTTCTTCATTTGTTGAAGAACAGGCGAGAGAATTGAAGGATAAGGGGGAGCATCTGGGTTTTGAGAAGAGAGAAATGAAGGAAAATTAAAAAATTTAACTTTTATATTATAACCCAGACCGACCCGTGACCCGACGGATCCCCTAGGAGATCCGCGTGTTTTTGTAAATATTAGGGTAAATCACCCTATTAATCCCCAACGTTTTTAAGACCCCCATTTTAACTCGAAATTCAATTTTCAATTCCGATTTTCTTCTGAAATTGACCCCCATTCTGTTTCAATTTCCAATTTAGTCCCGATAAAATTTAATTTGTGTTTTAACTTTGTTTTTTAATCTTATTTTAATCTTATTTATCTTTATATTATTTAACATATTACGTTTTATCATATATATATTATTATTAAATATATTCATGTTTATTTTCTTCATTTTACGCCATATCTTTTTACTATTATATATATATATATATATATTTATTTAGTTTTCCCTTTGTTATTATTACCTTTATACATATATTTTTAATTAATTACATTTATTTTATTTATTTATTTTTCTATGTTTTATTTTGTTTATTTCTTATGGTCCTTATTTTCGGTTCAATTTCACTTTTTTTTCGAACATCTCTTTTCCTTTAAGGTTATTTCAATCGATCAATGGTAAGTTTTGAATCGTTATTTTACCTTTTAATTTAAAATTAAAATTTTCTTAATTAAAGACAACTGAAAATTATATAGTACCGAAAGGACAGTTCAAGGGTGCTAACCCTTCCTTGACTGTAACCGACTCCCGAATCCGACACATCTTTGGTAAGACGCAGATCAGGTAAAAAATAGGGTATCCAATCTACCTATTTTTTTTAAAATAAAAGATCAGTGACGACTCCAATCCATATTTTTCAAGTCGAAGCCCAATTCCGAGGCCCAACCGAAAGACGGTTGCGACACATAGTTTTGTAATTTCCTTGCATTTGAGTACGTTTTCTTTGAACATAAATAAATTTAAGCATATTATATCTCACGTTTTCGTGTATAATGTAGCAACAATAATGTTAATCGAACTAAATATAATGGGTTTGATATATGAATTGTTGAAGTTGTACCAAAGGATTCTTTGTTATTCGCCTCAGGGTTACGGACTTCGTGATGGCGAACTCGGATTCTCTTATACCTACGTAAGAGCTAAGCTCGTCGACATTTTTTTTAACAATCTTTGCTTAATGTTTAGAAGAGGATGTAAGAAGCCTTACGTTTTGCTTTTTGTCTCTTTCAAAGCAGAAATCGGAAGAATCGGAAGTCGCGTCGGTTTTGGAAGTGGCTATGGTACCGAGTTCCTGTTTGTATTGAATCCGGATAGCTTGTTTATACACATTGCCTACTGTGAACTTCAGTCTTAATTCCGAATCGCTTTTTTGCAGCAAAATGCCGTGCTTGTCGTGGATCTGCTGTTGCTGTTGTTCCGAGTGCTCTTGTCATCTGAAATGCACGCCTTGCTGTGACTGCAAACATCCATGCGATTGCATTTTGTGCAACTGCGGTTCGTGTAAAGGCAGCTCGTGCAACTGCTGCACGGGTACCGGTGATTCGTGTTTAAGCTGTTGCAGAATTCCAAAACGGCAGTGTTGCTCTAGTCCTAAACCAACAGCAATCTCATGCAGCCGGAATTGTTGTATTTTCCGGTTTCCTTCTTGCACGGATTGTTGTTGCAGATGGAAATGCTGCTATCCTAAATGTCCGAAGGTAGGCCTTTGCTGCAATTGTACAAAAAACTGTTGTAACCCATGCTCCTTACTGTTCTAATATACTAAATGCAATTTTCTGGTGGAATGTTTGATCCTACCTAATACCTGTTGATTTCCTATGACTCAAACTCGAATCTAAACCTGACAATTTAAATTGGGATAAACCCAAATCCAAATATGTGTTGAACACAAAAGACTTGAGCTGTGAAAAATCCAAGTTCGAAAAATTCAAACTTGAAATGATTCAGCTCAAAAAATCCGAGTTACAAACCTGATTGGCAAGAACCCAAGTCCCAAGAGAGAGAGGGGAAAGATTAGCACATGAATAATTCTCAGTAAAATTTAAGCATATTACACTCTGTATAGCAAATTTCAAACCCTAATTCATAGATCCAAATGTTTCCCAAAATATTTAAAAGCAAGTGCAATAAAAGTCGAGAAAGCTGAAAATTATATCATCTTCATCCATGCCATGTGAGAAAGGTAAGTGAGTTCAACCGATAACAGTTCCGGAAGATTTAGTGACCATACTTCTGGAACTCCCACTCACTATTATCTGCAAAATCAAAAACACAAAGACGGGATCGCTATGCAGTTAACAAATATGGGATGAGGCGAAATATCAAAGCGAAAATAAGGCACTGGGAGGCAAAAATCATACCCAATGGGCACACTTGACGAGTCTTCAACCATCGGCTGATACAGTGGAAGTGAAATGCATGGTTGCAGACCCCTAGGAATGAAAAGCAATTACATATTCAATCAAAGATGAATTTCTATGTTTATTTCGAACAAAAACAGTAAAGGGTGAGTTTCAGTGTTCATTTAGGTGAAACACAACTAATATAGGTAAACCAAAAAAATTTCGAGACCAAAACATTAATCGACAAGCAAATATATTTTAACCATGCTAAAGAAGGCGGTTCTGTTTTTCATGTTATCACCCACACGCTTTAATAGTTTCTCCAAACTTCATATGAATCCTAAAGAGAATTCATGGAACAAGTAAATTACCCCTTAACAAGCACTATATTCATCACTCTAATTAGGAAACAACTAAAGTTTAGGGATCAACAATTTTGGCAAACAACATACAACCATCAAAGGAAAAGCAAACGATATGGTTCGTTTTACTTAGTCCGGACCAAAACAAAGAAAATATTCATATAGCTTCAGGATACAAAATAATCTGACATTTTACTTATAACTTAGAAGTGCATAAACACCAAACGCAATTCAGCAAAGCAACAAAATCTATAAAATAATGCATCTCATGCCACTAGGAGTAAATTAATAAATTGGCTATTGGCAGCATTCACAACTGAGCTGTTTTTACCATTCTCACTTGCAGCCTAGTCTGTAACAAGAACCATGGCATTCGATGCTTCCTGTCCTGCTCCTGTCTGGCAAAGAGCCAAAGAGGCAAAGACTATAGCGTGTCTACTATTGCTATTGATTTAACCTCCTAATATAAAGTAAGAAGTGTCACATTCCCTTTCACTCGCCACAGCCTCTCTACTCAAGCCTAACGGCAGAGCTCTTGCTGCACTCAACTCAAAAAGGCTCTACAAGAACGATAGAGGGAACAGTAACTATCACGCGCTGAGCGAGCAGCAAGGTTTTTGGCAAATCATTATGACTCAAAATTGAATAGCTCCCTATCAGCTTAATTGATTCATCGCCATTAGCACCTTAAAAGATACATATGTTCTAATAAAACACAAAAGAGTACGGGAATAATTTCGTCTAAATTACAATTAATTTATTATCTTCTACACTCAACAAGAATATCCTCTCTTTAAATGATGAAACCACCATAGTTTCGTCAACTAATTTGTTCTTGTCCACCCCAATACAAGAACACTGCTGTACAATCAAAACATGCAACTACAAGTTATTATATAAGTTCCAAAATCTCAATTGTTGTGTTTGGTATATTATATACTTGCATCAAACATCAGAATCACTTATCCCCGAGTAATACTTGTATAGATAAAGGTGATAATGTGAATAGGAGGCTATGTGTTGAGTGGGGGCTTCTTTAATTGAGGTTGCCTTCTGGTTGTCGGTTGTAGTTCGACTACATTCTTTTAATGAAATTCTTGATTTATTCCAAAAAAACTTATACAATGAGAGCTCTAAATAATTCCTGAATTAAACATTGAGATATCGAAGCACACAGACACGCACATAATGGTGTAATCCCCAACAAAGGAACATGTCCAAGACATTATAACACGGTGTAATTTGGTAAGAACGGTTTTAGGGAGTGGAAAAAGATAAACATACCCCAAGCGACAGTGCATTCCTCGCTGGTGGCGCTGGCTTGGTTTGCTTGGCATTCGATACCTAAAAACCAAATTAACATAACCAATCAGAATTCATCAAACCCTAAAAAAATCATAATTAGGATAAAAAAAAGAAATTGAAAAAATAAAATCAAGATAAAAAGACCCACAGAGATCCATGATGTGATTCCTGCAAATCGCACAATTATCCACAACAATATCTGCATCCATCAACCAAATCAATATGAAATGATTTAAGATAGAAAAAAGGCAAGAAGATGAAGTAAACAAGGGTTAGGGATCGGTACCCCAAGCCCAGAGTGCAACGGCGCTCCACTTTTTGATCTCGAAGCGCTTGGGCTTTTTAGTGGAGGAGGAAGCGGCGGATCTGTTTGAAGATTCTCCGACGGGGACCATGGGAACATCATAGTCTAGAGTAGCCATGACGGAGATTGAAAACCGTAAAGGGAAGGACTTTCAACGAAGATGTAAGAGAAGAACCAATATGTAACAACTTTAATTAAAGGAGAGTAATAAGAGAAATATGTACTAGGATGAAGTAAGGATGATGACATAAAATTTTGATCTTTAGAATACACTTTTTGGATTTATTTTTGACATAATATGAAAAATGTCATTAATATTTAATTAGATAATTATTTTATTCCTCTTTAAAATATATTTATAATTTTAACGATTCAATACTCACATTTTAAGATAAATTTTTAATATTTAATTAGATAATCACTTTAACCAATATTTTTTGAAACATTTTAATTCTCTAATATTTCAATTTTAAGATAAAAAATTCTCACTTTAAGATATTAATCATTTATTGAAAAATCTTTTTTACCTTAAAATAAAATTTTAAGAAATAAAATACTCTCCACTTAAAATTTTATTAAAAATATTCCTCTTGTTTATGTTTATTCTATTGTTTTATAATATATTATTTTACATTTCCCCAAATCATATATTTTATATCACAGAAGTTAATATAATAATATATAGAACTACAGTCTAAATATTCACAAAACATGTATTTTAATAAAACATTAACGATATATTGTTTATATTTAAAATTTTATTAAATTTAAGGGTGTTTTAAAAAATATATAACCCTATAATGTTACAAGAATAAGAGAACGGAATGATGCAAGAAATTGATGAATGGCGTTCGATAAACATCAATTAAATGGTCTAAAATGGCCATGGATTCTTAAATAAAAGCAAAGGGTTACAGATGCATAGTCTATAAACAACATTTCCACAATACAAGTTAAAATGAGCTTTGAATTCGGAATTCGTGTCCCTTCGATCTCAATCCTCATCGTCAAGCGCATCGCCTGCATTTCGCTTGTGATTATCTTCTCTAATTTCTCCTTCACTCTCTTGTTGCTCGGCCAAATCCTCCCTTACGGGGCTCGACTCAGATCTCCTTTGTGATGGTTCATCATCCTCAGATTCCGACCATGCCTGCCTCCGTCTTCCTGCAGCTGATGAGGGCACAGCAGCCTTCACAAATGAAAAACAAACTGTCACATCTCAGGCAATATATAACCCATCCCAGCGGATGTGCAAATCGACTAAAAATTCAATTTAGAAAAGCCATAAGCATTGGCGATATTAAACTCTAGAATACGACGATGTTAGATGCCGGTAAAAAGAAACGACTAACGTAAATGTTACAACCTCATCATCCTCCAGATCGGAATCCTCTAATCCGGCCGCAGCAAGAAGATCGTGAGGATTTTCACCATTGTCATCGTCCTGATCATTCATCTGAGTTGTGGATTCCCTATAGTTCCTGTTGGCATCTTCATCATCCATTTCTTCCCGATCATCCATCATGTCGGGTTCCTCATCATCTCTCTCGTAACGTGATCTATTCTTATCCTTCCTTCTCCTCTTTCCACCTTTTCTTCTTTTCTTCTCACTATGCCCACCCTCTTCATCATCGATTTCAGACCTGTCCCTTCGCCTGGAAGGGTTGCTACTCTTCCATTGCTCCTGGAGATTATAGCAGTCGAACAAATCATATTCAAAATCATAAAGCCAGCGATCTGCAATTGTTCAAAATCTATAACTGTTTAAAAGACGGTAGATGAAATCTTGCCTGCACGCGCTTGAAATGTTCCTCAGCCTGTTGGAGCCTTTTCTGTTCGTCTTCTTGTTTTCTTCTCTCCAACTGTTTTGCCATAAAAGAAATTAAGCAATCATAAGCTTCCCTTGTTAAAAAAAAACGTCCGTATTTGTTAGAATCATAGATGTACAAAAAAATAAATCAAGTTTACACATGCAGACCAGATATTTTCTTTGCTCTTCAGCCTTACGACGGGCTTCCTCAGCCAATGCAAGCTGACGAGCTGCTTCTTGTTTCTGCCTGTTCTGCTGCTCTTCACGTTCAGCGGCTTCACGGTGAACTTTTGCAGCTTCAAGCAAGTGTTTGCAATACTCAACATGTGTGTTAATCTTCTTCTCATCAAACCCGTGAAGATGAAGGTTTGATGCAGCAGATAATTGACTAAATATGCGAACGGCATTCTCTAGCTCTGCAACCGTTGAGCGAACCTATAAACATGGAAAAAAGGGAAGAGGATTAGGCGCATATCGATTTCTTTTCGTTCACTGAATCCAGTTGTAAACAACATTGTTTCAACAGAGTGACTCGTGAATGAAATGGATCACAACTTAGCCTCATTTCAACTACACTACGACAAGTAAAGAGAATTTCAATTACAACATCATTTCATATGAAACCTTTCCCCCAGGAGAAGAGTATTGGATAAAGGAAAAAAAAACAAAATTGATATGATTTCGATGAAATAACCTCATCTGCAGTCCTTTTGTCCTTCTGTAGTGTCGAAGTCGAGAATTTCTGCATTGCTACTCCAGCATCAAACCTTAGTGTGTAATTTGAAGGAGCTAAGTGGATGGCTCTCAATAAAGTTTTCTTGCATTCTTGCCATTGTTCAGCTTCATAATGAGTCCTAGCTAGGTAGAGAAGAATTTGAGAGTCTGTATTGTAATAGAACTTCCTCAGGCAATTTTGATACTGCAAGAAAGCAAAAATTATCAATTGTAGGAGTGCAAGATTAATGTAAAAAAGAAAACGTTTTAAATCACTCACCATTTTTACAGCTAAAGCAAAATTTCCTTGAGCGAAGAAGATATGGGCCAAGTTTATCCATACATCAGGCATTTGGACAAAAACACTCCCGCTTGCACCTTCTTGGACCTACAATAACCGTAACTATATTACAAACTTTCAAATTTTATGTTACAAGCGTACAAGATGAAACAATTACGAACGCAGACCTGTGTAAAAATGTCTTTTGAAACATCAAACTGGCCCTTTTCTGCCAACACTACTCCTGCACCATTAGCAGCATATAAATTATCCGTATGCTGAACAAGGACCTGCAATGTACGTGAATACACCAGTATCAGCCAAATTTATTCGATGCAAAACATAAACCATTAGCACAACACGAATGAAAAGATATGGAGTTCAGCAATGAATCTATGTCTCAACAAGGATATCAGAAGTCAGATCCATAGGATCTCTTCCTCCTTGATGCGAAATGGTTTATCAGTTTGAAGAAGAAAACTAGTAATACAGAGGAACACCATCAGACTTTATGTTACTTTTCAGTTGTGTTGGATACGTGTATGTACCCAACACGGGTCCTTCAAAAAATATAAAGAGACCAAGCAACATATATCAGAACCTCTAGTTGAATAACATATTAATAAAAAGTACAGAAAAATGGCACTTAACAGAGAAAAGTGAACAATAAAAGCATACCCTTGTGTACAATTCCTTGGCCTTTTCCAAATGGGTAGCTTCCAACTTGGGATTTCTTTTCTCATTGCGAATTGCTGCAAAGTAGTTCCAGTTCCCCTACAAAATATCAAAATAAACAAAACAAAACATAAGAATGAGATGCAAACAAGTGAATCCAAAACTTGAAAGAGCATTGGCAGAAGTTGTCAGAGAAATAAATGTCACTGTTGAGAATTGAGTAAAATGAATGCAAGTTAATGGAGAATAATTTTACTATCCAAAAATGACTTCTTACGCACCAGAGAAAGAATACCATAAGAATCCTTCCCATTGGTTGCATCACTAGCAGAACGCAAGGTTTCCTTTGCTTTTACCCAGTCATCATTCTTGAGCTCCAAGTCACCAAGCATGGATAATGCATTGGGGCATTTGTCATTCACTTTCAGTGCCTCATTAACCTATGCGTATAAAGTTGGAACTATGATCAAACAAACAAGTATAAAATAATATAAGAAAATAGGAGTTTTATTGGGTTAATAACAACCAGTTCAATGCTTAATTGAAGATTATTTCGAGCTTTTGCAATGGCAGCTAGCCTCAAATAAGCATCAACGTAGTCTGGATACTGTCAAGAAGTAAAGGAACAAACTTGTTAAACAAAATTGAGAATACATGCAAATAATCTTTAAAAGGAAATAGATGATATCTGATTTTCTTCAGACCAAAACATGGCATTTGGTCAACCATGAGGTAATTTAAATAATCAACATGTAAATAATCTTTAAAAGGTTTGGAGATATACCAAAGAAAAAGGATAACAACAGGCTCATTATATTAATGGTAGGTCTCATATAACATGCAACATAATATGTATAGTTTTAAATCATGCCTGCAACAGTGGAAATTTGGACTGTATTAAGCTCTAAAACCAATTGACAAACTGCAACAAATCAGCTGTCTTAAAGCCAACTATCAAACATAATCAAAAATAAGATTCCCCTCTAATTCAATGGTCCCCGTACATCTAGTCAAATAAATGCCTTTGTCCAGGGTAATCACTATTGGGGAAAGGTGCTTAAGTAGAATATAAGGGAAATGCACATTTGCAGATCTTACCTTGAACAATATCAAGCGATACAATATGTTTGCTATTCCTGTGTTATGCAGCTGCTCATGTAATCGGGCAAGGTTAAATACAACTGTTACTTTATTCCAGGGTAGTTCCACAGGAATACCGTCTTCCTCGAGCCTATGAAATACTTGCATATCCTTGTAGTCCAGGATAGATGCACTAGCTTCAATAACATAGGATTTTGGCTTATTTCCTGTTAAAGCAAGCCATACACCATCTCCCAGAGCCTTGTTAAAGCTTTCCAGGGCAAGCTGTAAATATGAAACATCAGCTGTCATAAGTAAAGAAATACTAGGCAAGTTGACAATTGTGAAGATGTTACTTGCTGGGTACTTTAATTTGCAATATATAATTGTTTAACGGCAATAGCAACAAATATACAGACAGTAAAACTGATTAACATTGATTCAGCCATAAGAAATCTGCACAAACCTCGAGCTCTTCCCTTTCAAAATGAAGAACGCCAATATTGTTGAGCACTTCTACTGGCACAGCTTGACTTCCCTTTTCCAGAAGATTCCGTGCCTTTACAAGCATTTTGATTTTTTAAGAAAAGAAATAGTAAATAGATAAGATAACGCTACAACTTTATTGAAATTTATCTAGAAGCAAAGACTCAAGATTAGGCCACAATTAACAAGGAAGCCCTTACCGTTTTGAAGGCATCAAGGGCAGCTCCTGTGTCAGATGAAATTAACAATTCCCCTAGATCAAGAAATGCCTGTGTAAAGGCTAGATTAGAAACAGCATTACAAAAAAACTGCTTTAGTACAATGACAAGATAAAAGAATGCCAAAATTGCCTATCCTAAAATCCACCATCTAATCTCTGAAAATCGCGGCCAATCTTTCAAGAAAATTCCATGTTGAAGCATTTGCATACAACAGTGGGCATCATAGTCTGAACCATAATCCACGGACATCTTAAAGAATATAAATTACCTGAGCATCCCGGGGATCAATTTTCGCAGCCTTTCTCATAAATTCTTGGGCCTTTTCAACCTGACCAAGCTGAACATATATGTGCCCAAGAGCCTATAGGAAACAATAAAATTCAGTAAACTACAAAAGGAAAACCTTAAACAACATAACACTATAACGAACGAAAAAACAACAATGTCATTTCTACTCACCTTCAATGTCTCACAATTATCAGGGTAAACCTCTAAAACTTTTTCAAAGTTTGAAAGTGCACTCCTAAAATCTCCCGACTTAAGTTTCACTTGTCCCAAGCCTGTTGCAACAAAATCATTTTAATGGACAAAAGACATTTCAGGAGTAACATTTGACATAGAGTGTGTTTAACATTGCTTTTGGCTGTCCAAAAGCATTTTTTTATTGCAAAAGAATGCTAAACAAAGGGCTTTCCATCAAAAACAATTTTCAGAAGTGATATTGGAACCAAACCAAGAAGCTGACTGTTAAGTCTTTCCAAAAGCACATTTCAACTGCACTTTTCAAAAGTACTTTTTCTACAGAAATGCTAAACTAGCTTATAATCATCATGCTTTGAAATTCCAACATTTCATATCAATCATTTTTATAAACCATCTTATCTCACTCACCGTTAAACATTCGAAACTGTACCTCCCACCCGATTGATTTTGCCATTTCCAATATTAAAGTGTCACATTCAAATTGGTGATATTAATAGGGAAACAGGTATTACTTTACTGGTTAGTCCAAGCCTGAGATAATTGAGTTCAAACTAAAATAATCCAGAGAATAATGCACAAAATTAGTTGAATATTTGAACTCATAAGTATATTAAATGTGTTACTTACCATAGTAGGGAAATACAAATTCAACAGGCTTATTGATTTCCTTAATAGATGCCATGTAATAGTATCCAGCTTTCTCAAAGTCCCCCTACACTAAGAAGAAACAATATTGCTCCCATCAGTAATTTCAAGAATCAAATCATCACAGTTTGTCATGTATGACTAATTCAGTAGTTTTAGATTGCCAACATAAATTCAACAAGTTGAGATTTGAGAATATGAAGTAGCAAAGAAAAGTAGCATTATAGTTATTCCAAGCAGGAAAATTGTCAGTCTAACAGAACTTCAATGGTATATAAAGGAAGAAACAATCTTATTTATCACACTGAACAGCAACACAATCACTTTTATAAGAGTAATCATGGATAGTGACTGATTAATAGGAACCATCATCCATATAAAGGAATAACTAGGATAGCTTGTTCTATTTATCAGACAACCCTATCTAGTTCCTTGTAAAACAAAGCAAGATCAAAAGGGGAAAAGAGAGCCAGCTAGTGCATTCTCTATTGTGCTATGAACAAAAAAAAACAATATGATATATTGACACTTCCACATCGTTCACCGTAAAGTATGTAATAATAATGGTAATAAATATTAGTAAGGGCCTGTAAGAAACATAGATATAAAGTAATAGTATTTGGACCTTGCTATGATAAGAGCGTGCTAGATTGTAGAAAGAATGTGATTTTGTTGGTCCATGATTGGTGACAGCAAGAGCTGTTTCAGTCAGTTGCTCGACTAAAAAGTGTTGTCCAGTGAAGAAAAAGTGATTTGCTAGATAATTTAGTGCCATTGCACAATAGGGATATATCTCAAAAGCTCTACGCATTTTGTCCATGCCTTTCTCAATCCCAGCAGCTGTAAAGACATATTAAAGCATCATCACCAACACTGAAATCAGAAAATAGAACAATAAACAAACCATAGAGATATTTATCATTAGCTGAACAATCATATGTCCCAATATACCATCATTTGCTTGTAAATCCATGATTGCCAATGCAACAAGAGCTTCAACGTTTTCTGAGTCTAACTGCAAATATTGATATTTGAAGACAAAGAGAACAATCAGCATGCCATAAATTATTGCATTTAGAAACATAAACAACTGAAACAAATAAAAAAGAGATGAAATGTAATTGATTGAACCAAATTACCTCTAAAACTCGCTGAAATGCCTGTCTAGCCTTTTGAAATTGACCCAATTTATATCGACAGAGACCAATCCCAAGTCTGACAGCTCCAGGACAATTAGGATAAACTTGCAAGGTCCTCTTAGAAAAGTAAGATGTTATGTGAGTTAACAAACTTGTCATGATGTTAAATACTTGAGTTAAAAAAGTATGAACTGCTGACCTTATATAACTCCAATGAATCAGAATAACGACCACGATTGAACTCAACACATGCCTGAAGATATCCAGAACAGGTTAGTTGGGGGGGGGGAAGCAGCATGAATATATTAAGCAATGACCCAATTGGGTTTCCTGGGCCATTCCATCCAGAACTTTACATCTTTACAGAAGACAATGAGTTTCCTCAAAAATTTCTAATGCACTGTTTATCAATCATATAATGTACAAGTATGGTCACTAGCACAACAATATCATAAAAAATCTTCAATGCAATCAACAAATCTAACCACAATCATATTACATTAGATAGGGGGGAAAAGAATAATTAAATACACCTGGCCAAGAAGAGCAGGAACATTATCACGATCTCCTTCCAAGACAATCTTAAACGCAGCAAATGCCTGTTCCACTTCACCTTTTGCCAGGAGAAGCTGACCTGTAAATAGTAGACATTAATTGATAGCAAACAATAAGTTCATCATGAACTAGACTAGACACCGAGTATAATCTCATATCAATAGGAAAAGTCACGTAAATATACTTGAAACTAAAACCAAGTCCACAACACTATCCCGCTTTTATACTTGTAATTGAAACTCTAATTAGATATGCAACAACACAAAAAAGCCCAAAAATGTTCACCTTTGCCAACCCAAGTTGAAGGCTCGTGCATATCAATTCTTGATGCTTTATTGTAATACTGAGTAGCCAAAATAAAATGTTCCTCTTTTTCTCTTTGTCTTGTCTCAATTTTTCCAAGGTAGCTGTAATAAGCGCCTAAAGCATTTAGGATAGCAATCCTCTCGTATCTAACATCGGCATAATACTCATCGATTTCTACAATAGGAAAAATACAACAATCAGAACATGCGATAACAATTAACCAGTTACCACAAATTCAACAAAACCGGTAGCATAATACCAAACCAAGAAAAAGAGCATGAATAAGAAAACGCATAATACCAGGACTGGATCCTTCTTCCAGAATTTGTCGAAATTGTTCAACCTTCCCTTGCTTAAAGTATTCCCTCTAAATCATTAAGAACAAAATTAACGAATATAAAGAAAATCTCAAAGACAAGTTTAAAGAAACAGTTACAGTTTCAAATTTCAGCTAATTTTCGCAATCGCGTTAAGAGGAAAGTGAAAAATAAAATCCCAAAACCTTGTCGTAACATGATTGAGATGATTCCACGAGTTAAATACATAAATTTACAAGGAATTAAAAGAGAACAAAGAGCGAACCGCGATGATGAGCCAAAGATCGAGAGGAGCTTGCTCGGCTTTGAGGATATCGAGAATATCAGAAGCATCCCGGGGAAGTTGATCCAGAGCCACTCGCACTTCCTCCTCTGAGTTTTGAACCGGTATGTACACGCACGCCATTGATTGCTAGATCGAAACTGAAATCTTCCCTTAAATCGATAAAAACCCTAGATATATAACTACCTCCGCCTCTTGTTCTTTTGTTTTTCTAATCGGGGCGAATACCTGAGCGGAGACTGAACCGGTGGATTTTGCCGATCCTGTACTTATAATGTCTTCTCATTAGGGATTTAATCCCATACATGTTCGGCAAAGTTTAAATAATTAAAATTATTTAAATATTAAGTGGGTAACTATACTGGTGGCCCTTTTGTTTTTTGTTTGTTCGATTTTGGTTACTGGTTCAAATATTTTTTAGTTCTGGTACCTTTTATTTTTGATCCGTCTTATTTTCTGTTACTAAAGTGGCACGCTAGTAAAAATGGTTAAATTTTAATTTGACTCCAAAATTTTAGATAAAATATAAATTTAACCTTAAAATGTACATAAAATACAATTTAACTCTTAAACTTTATATAAAATATTAATTTCACTCGAATATAATGAATAGTTATAATATTGATTTATATTATTTTTCATATAAATTATGAAATGTGATTTTTACTTAACGACAATGCTCAAAATATTATCTAATCGGGTTAACTTCTTAATTTTTATAAAATGTTTAATAATATTATGTTTTTAAGTACGTTAAAATTCACAATATCCAAATTATTACAATAATAATCGTATTAACTAAACTAAAACTCAATCGACCAACTTCCCTTGCCTGACGCTCAATTCTTATTACAACAACAGAACTATTAAACTACAAATATTGGTTAATCCATTCATCTTCTATGTTCAGATACGAGGCTAGGCTTTGAAGATCCAAGGTTTCACTTGTCCGAGAAAACGCAGTGCCATCCCTCAAATCATCCATTGATTTGCGAAGCTCGTTCACTTCATCCGTAACCAAGTCGAAACCATCACCATACCTCGCGTTATTGACATTTTCATCACCTTGTTGAACTTGACGGACCTCTGAGATCGGATCATATTCGGGTAAGAGAAGTTCATCGATGTCGAAGTCCATCAAGAAATCTATGGAGTTATTGTCCTCGTTGCCGCTCGAAGAAGACAGACTAACGGTTTTGGGTTCGAGGTCTAGAGTAAGGTTGACGGCCTTGCTGCACTTAACTGCCTTGGTACGAATCACTTTGTGAGAAGCTTCTGTGGTAGCTATGGGAGAAGTATTTTTCTTTTGGCCTTGCAATCTTTTACCCAAATTTGTGTTCCAGTAGTTTTTGATTTCGTTGTCCGTTCGTCCCGGTAATCTGCCGGCGATGAGAGACCACCTGAAAGTATCGAACTTTCATTACCAAAAGTTATAAAAATATATTAAAATGATCGAACACACTAAAATTTTAACTGAAACGAAACGTACCGTACATGTTACCTAAAATAACACTTGAACAAGAGTTTCATTTAATGCAAAAAGAGTGTCGAGTGCCATTTTCTACCCTTTTTTCTTAAAGATGTGGAAACTCATTTACTCTAAAATTGAAAAGTGAAAAAAAGGTCAACATTTGATATTGATCCTTCTACTATGTTCAAATTTGAGATTAATCATTGTACTTTAATTTGACACGATTTAATCTTTTTCTTTTATGATGATGACGTGTTTGAAGGAGTGTTTTCTAAAAAATATTTAAAATATAATTAATTGGAGTAATTAGCTGTCAACTACATATATGTCAACTAAAAATATAAGAACTAAATCTCAAATTTAAATATAGTAGAGAGACAAAAAACCAGAATTTATCCAAAAGAAAAAAATATATATAAGAGTTACCTGTTACCTGTTACCAAGGAGCCTGTGTAGTCTAATAATGAGCTCTTCTTCTTCAATAGAAATGTTTCCTCTCTTAATATCCGGCCTCAGATAATTCAGCCACCGGAGCCGGCAACTCTTCCCACATCGCTTCAACCCTATATCAACCACATTCATTACAAAGGACATTATATCAACTTGGTCCTCGAACTTTTGTTCGGTCCATATTAATCCCTAAAGATTTTTATCTCATTTCCAGTCCTTTCGATAATGTCACGCTCTGATAATGTCACGCATGACACAATCTCAAAGTACCGCACAGTTAAAAGGACTAAAAGTTGGAAAAATTCAGGGACCAAGTTGAGGGAAAAAATTAATTGAAGGTATAATGGAGTAAAACAACAATACCAGCTCTATGAGGAAGGTCTCTCCATTTGCCTTCGCCATGAGTTTTGATGTAGTTGGTGAGGATTTGGTCTTCATTTGCAGACCATGCGCCTTTGTTCATCCCTTCCTTGGCACAACAAGGTTTCCTTCCCATCAGTTCACCGAGCTTTCACACGGTCACTTTTTTCTTCACTCGACGTCCTTTGTGTGCTGATAATCATGGGGCGAAGAATTAGGGTTTTTATATACCCTCTAGGTCCCTAGGAGAGCAGGTTCAACTAATTGTCAGCAACACCGTTGAGGGGTTGACGTTAGCATGTAAACAAGTATTTTAGATTATGAAACAAGTATTTTAGATTATGAGCCGTCTCGGCAGTAAAAAAAATGTGGTTTTTTTAAGGATCCGAATTTAAGAAGTTTTGTTTGTAGGGTATGTATGTATATATGTATTATTAATAGGCTAAGAAAAATTATGAACAAATTTAACCTTGTAGTCACTTGAGACTATTAAAAAAATAATCACTTGATCTAGTGAAATATTAAATCCCTTAAACATGATCAAGCGTTTGAATTTTAACTTATTAATGAAGAAAACAGAGTTGAAATGGTCACTCCCTTACGATAGGTCCATGCAACTAGGGATGGAACGAAGGTGGGAAGCGTGGGGGCAGTTGTCCCCCCTAAAATTTTTAAATTATCTTATATTTTATATTTTTTCTGTGTATTTTCTATTGATAGTTTATTTTCGTCTCCTAAAATTTTATAATTTCACTTTCTTCTAAAATTTTATAAATTCACCCTCTTACATAAAATCTTGCATTCGTAAATCTAATAGGTTGAAATACTTGTCATCGACACCATAGAAAGAGGCCGACATTAGCACGTAAATAAACATTTTAAACTATCAATTGGTTTCTGGAGTAAGATCTTAAATCATTTCAGTAAGATTAAAAACTAAAATTTTAATTCATAAATGAAGAAAATATAATATGAAAACAATACTCGATACCGATTCTCGAATTCTTGATTCATAAGTACGTGATGATAATTCAATCATCAAATGATTTAAATTGTTAGTATTATATAATATGTCTTTGCATGCGTAGAAGAAATACTATTATATTATTTAATTATAACACCGACCGAAAAAATATGCACTGATTAGTGCACGAATAAGATTAAAAAGAAATACTAATAACTTAGATATAAAATAGAGAAAATAACCTCAGTGACAAAAAATCCCATATAATATACGATTTTAACCAACTTTTTCCGGATTTGCCAAAATGACCAACAAAATCGTAATGCGATCGCTAATTCGCAACGCGATCTCCATTATCGCAAATTCGCGTTGCATTTCGCGTTGCGATAGTTGGAAATCGCGTTGCGATGGTATACAATGTCGTTGCGATTTTCCCAATTCGCAATGCGAATAAGTAAATCGCAACGCGAATTGGGAAAATCGCAATGCGATACTGACTATCGCAATGCGATACTTACTATCGCAATGCGATAATACAAAATCGCAACGAGATACTGACTTTCGCAACGCGATTCTGACTTTCGCAACGCGATTTACATAGCTCCATTCGTATTAACGCGTATTTTTTTTTTCAAATTCCAAACACGAATTTTTTCTTAATAAATCGGAAACTGAACCGTCCACAGTAATCGCAACTCATAACCTCAAACCCAAAAACACAACACTCAGTCCCATCTCCATCTCTCACTCTCTACGGCGAAATCCGTCCCCATCTCCAAAGATTTCCGTCCCCATCGTCGGCGAAATCCCTCATAACCATTCACAGTCAAAAATCCCTCACAATCATTCAGAAATGGAAAATCAACCTCCGAGGGTTAGTTTTTTTAATTTTTATTTTGAATTTTTGCATTATTTTAGGTTTTTCATATTGAGGTTGATGATAAGTTTACTAGTAATTTCAATAATAGATTAACCATTTCACTTAGATTTCTTATTAAATTCATTCGATTGCTGCCAATACTGCTAAACTGTTTAGCCTGTGAAGTTAGTATTTGTCTTTGCTTTGTCTTTTCGTTGAAGTAATGCAGAAGAATAGTTTCGAGAATGAAAATCGCAACGCGAAATAACTATCGCAACGAGATAATCGCAACGCGAAACCAAAATCGCATTGCGATTTTCATTTCTCGTTGCGATTTTCATTTCGCGTTGCGATTTTCATTTCGCGTTGCGATTTTTATTTCGCGGTTGCGATTTTCATTTCGCGTTGCGATTGTCTGGTCGCGATAGTCATTTCCGCGTTGCGATTCTCATTATCTCGTTGCGATTTTCATTTCAACCAAAAGACAAAAACAGTGTTGCAAATTTTAGTTTCAAGAATAAACTACTATTTATGTTTATTGTTTTGTTTTTGGTATATCTTGACAGTGTAATTTTTTGTATATCTAACTTGGTATGTTTTATTTTTTTTGTAGAAATTTTTTTCGGCTTCATTGACATTAAGGAATAAAGTTAGCCTAGCCACTACAATGCTTCGAAGCTTTCACTGCACAAAGAAAATTGTTTGAAGAAACCTGCTTCGGGCCATGGCTGAGAGTACAGCATCCGGGTGGAGATGCTAGTTTGACCCATTTGTGGCTTCAGACCATGACTAGCGATCTACCCGACAGTATACAACGTGGTGAGAAGAGATATGGTTTCATTTTCCACCGGCGTATACTTGTTTTGGGCGGAAGGAGTTCTGCTTAATCACTGGTCTACGATTCGGACACTATGATGTAGGCCGATACACTCGTCATATCACCCGCCCATCATGGTTATCCAGGGTTTTTCCTGATGAGTCAATAGAGAAGCCGAACTTACACGTCGACGACATGAAGAAATTGTTTAATAAGAAAGATGGTTTTACTCGGATGAATGACGTCGATGTTGTCCGAGTATGCCTTCTACTACTTTTGTATGCCGGCTTTTTAGGCAGAGAGCCAGACAACCTATTCCTCAGGAGCTAATATTATTGGTAGAGGACCTAAATGCATGGAATATGTTTCCGTGGGGTTCGTATATATGGAAAGCTACCTGGACTAAGTTGTCGTCTGCCTTTGATGACCGCAAAAGTTTGCGGGGCGATGGGTCGAAATACACTTTGTCAGGCTTTGTTTGGGCCTTTAAGGTAAGAATTTCTATATAATGTTTTCAAAATTAATTAATTATTTAACAATTACTAATGTTTGTTATTATATTATTTGTAGATTTGGATATTCGAGGCTTTCCCAGCATGCGACATATGCATTAAAATCCTCAGATGATATTCCTAGGGCTATTTCCTGGAAGAGGAACATATGTTGGATTGGGGAAGACTTAATACCATATGCGACAATAAATAATGTAAGTTAACACAAATACTATCATATATAAACAAGTTATTAATAGTAGACGTTTAACTTTGTTTTAGTTTTTATATTTTTAGGGGCCAACACTCCATTAATGAGACTGACACCCGGAGGCTGAGCTTGCCACTGATTGGTGGCAAGCTAGTCAGTATTTTTTTGATGGCATGAATGATGAGCAGCCTCCACTTCCTCCACTTCGAGAGCCATCACCTCACCCAGAGCCATCACCTGATCGACCCGACTATACACCTCTATAACGAGAGCCATCACCTATCCCGTCACATCATCGAGTCTCTTCTCCACCATCACCTCATGATAGGCGACCGACAAAGATGCCACGACTTCTATCTCCCTGTTCTCCACCTCCACGGGATGAGTCAAGGGAGTTACGTGATGAGGTCAATGCCTTGCGTGATGAGATCGGTACTCTACGCGATAACGATGGTGCATGGCGTGTGGAGGTGTCTACTTTACGTGGTGAGGTTACCGCTCTACGTGAGATGGTAGTATCGTTGCAGAATGAGGTTCATACTCTACGCAACGAGGTAAGTTTAAGATTTTCCATATTTAACTTGATGATAAATTTACTCGTAATTTCACTTAAATTAACCATTTCACTTAGATTGCTTAGTAAATTTATTCGGTTGCTGCCAAAACTGCTAAACTTTTACTTTAACACTGTGAAGTTAGTATTTGTCTTTGTTTGTCTTTGTTGAAAGTTTGAAATATATTTATCTTTGTTTTCACTGTTTAAATATCATGTCTGTTTATTTACTGATATTTGTATTTTATTTAGCGGACCGATAAGGTGGATGCTTTACGTCGGGTTTTTCTTGCACGATAGAGTTCACGCATCAGACGGCGTGCACGTGCTATTAAGTCTCCGTATACCCCAATAGTGCGAAGACACCGCAAGAAGAAGCCGACTCGCCTATCATCCCTCAAGTCCACTCCTATCGTTGAAGAGGCCCCTATCATTCCTCGAGAGTCCCTCCCACCGTTCAAGAGGCCACTGTCATCGTTGAAGAGGTCCCTCCCACCATTCAAGAGCCCGATTCACATGGCGTCATATGTAGGATTCTTGAGAAACCCTCTGACGTGCCGGACATGATGGATTCAAGTTGGCTCTCGTATGAGTTACCGGCCAGTACCATACCGGTATCTGAAGAGGAGAGGAAACAACTACCGGACACAATTCTGGATAACACCCTTTGGGCTAAGACCGCAGTTGATTTTTATCTACATGAGCGAAGCCAGGGGTGTTTCACTGACATATGCAAGCTCAATGATGATATCTATTTGTTGCTTGATCGGTCTTGGTGGGGCGTATTATTAGGGGTCGAAGACAATGGCTATTTCGATGGAGGAGTAAGTCTTATATTTTCTTATATTTTCATTTGATTATTTTTTTTGTAAATTTATGTAAGTTACTAATATATGTCTTTTTTTGTAAAACAGCATATCGATGCGTGGGTGTCCGTCTTCTAATAATTAGGAAACTTAAGGAAAATAAAGAAATACACGGTATACAATTATGCCGACGTCTTTTAACGCCGTTCACTTGAAGAATCAACGAGATGATCATTTGCGTTGGGCAATGGACAAGCTAAACTTTATCCTGCATGGTGGGAGGTCGATAAGGTTAGTGTTTATTTTAGATCGAGTTTAAAGGTATTCATAAATAAGTGCGCAAATGAATGATTATTACTGATTGCAGGTGTTTATCCCTGTTTTGGAACGTAACCATTGGCTTATCGTCGAGCTTCAGATCCCATCCCTTAAGGCAATAGTATATGACAGCATG